GGGCATACCATCATCATCTCCATGCTCTTTAGTAAGTCATATATCATTCTGAACTGAACATATATCACCAATTCTTCTTTGTCATTCGATCAATATTCAGCAAATCAGTGCCGAACACCATTTTGAGAATGTCACCCCACAAGGATTACTTAGGTTCAAGGACTAAACTGACTAAAAACATCTTAATACAATGAGAAATGGGAGCAAGGTGTAGAGCTGGATGAACACAGCAGGCCAAGCGGCATCAGAGGAGCAGGAAAGCTGACGTTTTGGGTCTGAACCCTTCTTCAGACCCTTTTTCTGAAGAAGGGTCTAGGCCCGGATTGTCAGCTTTCCTGCTCGGCCTGCTGTGTTCATCCAGCTCTACACCTTGTTATCTCAGATTCTCCAGCATCAGCAGTTCCTACTATCTCTGAGAGATGGGAGCAATCTTATTTGTTTCACTTACATCCTGAAAAGAAATAAACTAAATAAAACTTTTGTACTGGTATCATGAAGAGGTCGAACAAAGCAATAGAAACAGGGTACACTTATGTTCAGGGAGAAAACAATGAAGATGTAATAAACTTTCCTAATCTTCAATCCAAAAATCCTAATAGGCAAAAACGAAAAGGAGGTGAGGCAATACATTAATAAAGGGAAGTATCAGCACGGTGGTTAGCAGTGATATAGATATAAAAGGTCATGATGTGAAATTAGTTTGGTGGAAAAAAGGAGTGGCAAGGATAAGAATTCATTGGTGCAAGTTGTTTACAAGCCCCCAAAGAGTTGTCTCACTGTAGGTCAAAGTATAAATCATCAAATAATGGAGGTGCATAAGAAGGGCACTACAATCATTGTAGCTTTTAAAGTAAGTGGCTGCAGAGATAGTGGAGGCATTAGTCAAAATATTCCAGAACTCACTGGATTTTGGGAGGGTTCCAGCAGATTGGAGAACTGCTAATGTGATGTCCCTGTTTAAGGATGGAGGGATACAGAAAGCAGGTAACTATAGACCAGTTAGCCTAATAGCCATGAATGGGAAAATGCTAGAATCCCCTGTTAAGGAATAAAATGGCAGCACACTTAGCAAAGCTTAACGCAATTGAACAGAGTCAAAATGGTTTTGTGAAAGGGAAATTACGCTTGACAAATTTGCTAGAGTTCTCTGAGGATATGACAAGCACAGTTGGTAAAGGTAGCCGGGGGTGTAATATATTTGGATTTTCAAAACGCATTTGATAAAATGACACATAAAAGGTTATAGCAGAAGATGGCAACTCACAGTATTGGGGATAAGAGCACAGCATTTAGAAATACATTTTATGATAAAGCAGAGTCAGCATTGTATCAGAAAGTAGAAATCATGCCGGATGAATTTGCTAAAGTTCTTTGAGAAAGTTACAAGCAGGATGGAAAAATGGGAAGCAGTGGATGTATTTTCAAAAGGCGTTTGATAAGTTATTAAGTAAGAGAAGTACCCATGGCAGTGATGATAGTATATCAGCATGGATAGAGCACTGGCTAACTAATAGAAGGTACAGAGTTGAGATAAAGGGCTCATTTTCAGGATGGCAATTTGTGACTGGTAGAGTGCCACAGGATCAGTGATAGGACCACAATTACTTAGAATGTATATTAATGACTTGGATGAGGAAAGTGAATGTACTATGCACAAATTTGCAGATGACACAAAAATAGTGGGAAGGTAAGTGGTGCCAATGATACAAAGAGTCTGCAGAGGGATATAGACAGTTTAAAGAAGCAAGCAAAATCTTGGCAGATGGAACATAATGTAGGAAAATGTGAGATTATGCACTTTGGCAGGAAGAATAAAAGAATGGAATTTCATTTAAATGGTGAATGACTGCAGAAAGTTACAGAACAGAAAGATTTGGAAGTCCTCGTCCATGAATCACAAGAAGCTAGCATCCAAGTTCAGGGGTAATAGGGAAGGCAAATGGAGTGCTGGCCTTTATTTCCAAGGGATTGGAATATAAAAGTCATGAGGTTTTGCTACAACTATATAAGGCACTTGTTAGACCACAGCTGGAATACTATGTACAGGTTCGGGCCCCTTTTCTAAGGAAATTATACTTACATTGGAGGCCAGAGAAGGATGTGCCAGATATGGAGGGGCTGTCTTAAGAGAGGAGATTGAACAGGTTGTGCCTGTAATCATTGGAGTTTAGAAGAATAAAATACAACCTTATTGAAACATAAGATTATTTGAGGACTTAACAAGATAGATGTAGAAAGGTTGCTTCTTGTTGTGGGAGAGTAAAGGACCAGAGGCATAATCTCAGAAGAAGGAGTCATTCATTTAAGACAGAGAGAGGAAGGAATCCCTTCTCTCAGAAGGTAGTGAATCTGTAGAATTCTTTACTGCAAAGTATAGATAACACTGGGTCATTTCGTATATTCAAGGCTGAGATAGAAAGATTTTTAATCAGTAAGGGAAAAAGAAGACAAGTGGAGTTGAGGATTATTTGAGTAACCATGATCTCATTGAATGGTGGAGTAAACTTCATGGTTGAGTTGCCTGGTTCTGTTCCTTACGGGGTAATCTATTAGAATGGATGGAGGTTTAGTTAACACGCAGAATACAGAGTCTGGATTAGTGGGCCTTTTACAGGTTGAAACATGCAACCAGTGGAGTGCCAAAAGGATCAGTCCTAGGTTTCAATTGATTTGGAGGAAGGGGTCAGAGTGTGATGTATCAAAATTTGCCAATGATACAAAAATATTTAGGGGGTGGGCATTATGTGATGAGAACATAAGAAATCTGAAAGGGTACATAGATAGGTTGAGTGAGGGGCAAAGACATGGCAGATGGAGTTTAATATAGGAAAGTGAGATATAGAAATATAGAAATTGGTCAGAAGGAACAAAAATGGCCAGGCTATTAGTAAAATCAAAACTATAACAAGGTGCAAGAGGGATTTGGGTGTTGCTGTGCATGAAATCCAAAAAGCTAGCATGCAGGTGAAGCAAGTAATTGAAAAGGCAAATGGAATTTTGGTTTTTAATGCTACAGGGTGAGAGTTTGAAATAGAGAAGTCTTATTACAATTGTACATGGTGTTGGTAAGGCAGCACTGTGGATACTGTGTACAGTTTTGGTCCTTGTATTTAAGGGGTTGACTTATCAAGGATGGCTAAACAAGTTAGGATTTTATTCATTACAGTTTACAAGAATAAGGAATGATCTTCTTGAAACATACAAGATTCTGAAAGGGCTTGACAGGGTAGATGTTCAGAAGATATTTGCACTTGTTGGGGAATCTTGAACTAGGATATACAGTTACAGAATTAAGGGGCAGATACATCACGATTTTCTGGAATGGGGCTCAATGGCCTGTTCCTGCTCTTATTTCTTATGTTCTTATGAAAATCCTAGTGTGCAATGATATCTCAGAAATGGGATGCAACATGGCATTCTGATATAGAAAAAAAATCAATAATTTTAAGTGAAATGCAGTTTACCTGCTTTGCAAATAAACAATCACAACATACCATTCACAATTAAACAAATTCTACAAATAAATGTTAAGTTCATAACTATTTCATGTGGCCACAATTTAGTAACAAATTACATTCATAAGTTTTAGAGATGACAGTTAAAATGAAATAGTAATATCTGTGTCTAGGTCACAATATGTTGTTAGACCTGTTGAGTTTCTCCTGTGTTTTCTGTTTTTGGAGCAATGTATTTTCTGTTACTCCTAAATTAGACTTCTGCCTTGTCTGTAGTCAAAAACTAATCTCCTGGATAAAGTTGCTTGAACCTATTTTATCACACTGTGTCAGAGACCATATTCAATGGTAATTCATGGCACAATTCCAATACCAGGAACAAATAAAACAGTATACCTATTCTTGGTGCAAATCACACATGTACTTCTATTTACAACATATACAGCTGAAAGACATTTCCATTTCCACTAACTAACTAAACAAAGCCAAAGGAGACTCATTATCTTGGGATTTATTACTCTGGTCTAAAATAAACGAGTGGAAAGCTAAAGTGCTGTGGAACAAACAGTAAGTGAACAACAAACTGGTGACAGATTTTAAAAGCAAAACAAAAAGGTCAGCTTATTGCCCTAATAGAACCTTTTTTTTTAATAAAAACCGAAAGAACTGCGGATGCTGTAAATCAGGAACAAAAACAAAGTTGCTGGAAAAGCTCAGCAGGTCTGGCAGCATCTGTGAAGGGAAAAACAGAGTTAACGTTTCGGGTCCGGTGACCCTTCCTCAGAACTGATGGTGGCTGGGCAAACATCAGTTTATGTGCAGAGAAAAGGGGATGGGGTAGGGAGTAAATGATAGGATAGAGCCTAAAGAGAGAGAAGAGCAGTAGGACAGATAACATGTTGATAAAGTTCCCTGACCAACATGTCTGTCTCTGGCTTGCTGCAGTGTTCTAGCGAAGCTCAACGCAAGCTAGAAGAACACCACCTCATTTTCCGCTTGGGGACCCTGCAGCCCTCTGGACTCAATATCGAGTTCAATAATTTTAGGGCCTAACTTTCCCATGTCCCAGCCCCCCCAACCCAACACACCAGGCCTTGTTATCACATAGCCTGCCACTACACACCCCCTGTTGTTAGTCACTAATAGTCCCCATTAACAACTATTCACCCTCTCAGCCTGATCGTTCGCAACTCTATCTGTCCTACTGCTCTTCTCTCTCTTTAGGCTCTATCCTATTGTTTACTCCCTGCCCCATCCCCCTCCCCTTTTTTCTGCATATAAACTGACGTTTTCCCAGCCACCATCAGTTCTGAGGAAGGGTCATCGGACCCGAAACATTAACTCTGTTTTTTCCTTCACAGATGCTGCCAGACCTGCTGAGCTTTTCCAGCAACTTTGTTTTTGCTGCGAACACTTTTTAAAATTCACTTCATAAGAAATGACACTGGAGTCAAGTCAAATAAATAATACAAAATAAAATCACAGATCTAAGTTCTGTATGTTTTTTTACATCATAAACACAAATGGTTTGATGAACTGACTTACCCCCATGAGAGACAACTCTTCTGTAAGGTTCAATAGCCTTCATGTCAATCCTATGTTCTTGATCCCCAATAACAACAGTTCTCCACAACCGATTATCTGTGCGTTCTTCTTCGGCAGTATATTCTGGTATAGGTTCTACCACCTCTTTTCCAGTATGAGTGGCACTGGGTGTTTCATCTAAAACAAAGAAACATTTAATAAATATTTCAATCTTAAGAAAAGTAATGTTTAGCTGAAAACCTTTATAACATACTTCAACACAAGCAATATTATGTAATGGAACATGCTTTAGATCTTGGAAATTGGAGATAAGAACAGGTCAGGCAAGATCTGTGAAGTGGAAAAAAAAACTTAATGTCCAAATCAGTACAGTTGGAGAGAAAGAATGCAGCAGGAAAGAAAAGAACAAAAGAGAAGGTTTGCAACAATGTGGAAGGCAGCAGAAATTACATGACAAAAGGTTATTATTTACTAGCAATGATGCTTCAGTATAACATCAATGTTAAATACACTCAAGTCACACTACTTTTAAAGGAGTTTGTTCATGTTAAGAACATGCTTAAAATGATCAAATCATGCATCTTATAAAACAGTCATTGTTTCAATAGATCAACAGAAATGTAGCTTCTCGTCCTATTTAGCAGTGTGCGTTTTGTACTTCCCATCTGTCAAACACTTAGTGTAGCAAATAACTTCTCTCTTCTGGTCACTGATTCCTCACTTCATTCTCAATAGAAGCAGCTGCCACTGTGAATATTTCACAGCAAAATATAGTTTAGTGTTTTAAGTTTGGTATTCTCTTCCCATTTTTCTACTTGCTT